CCAGTTCATCTTATCATTACGAATCAATTTGTTAAAATTATCCTAGGGTCAATTATCTTCGATTACGATTTACCCCTTCTTGTATATTGATTGATTTGCTTAAAAAGTATTCGTTAACTTTTAAGTCAAACAATTTGGTGCCGTCTATGGGATTTCGGTAGTCCAAATCGTAGTTCACATCTAGGATATCAAGAACAACAATCACTATCCTTCAAACTCCGTAGAACTAGCAAATGGCAGATAAAGAATCTAGGCTGAAGATGATAGCAGATGTCTCAACCAACCTCATAGGCCCCCTCAACGAGGCCGGCAGAGAAAATATTGTGAACGTAACACCAAGTAGTGTTCAGGAGGAGGAAATTTCGCCCTCCTCACTCGAAGATCTAATGATCTTGCATGAAAGGGGGGCTTCAACGTCTGCAGTAAAGGAAGCGCCTCCAGTAGTCAAAAAGTTACTAGAGGAATGGTTGACGAACACCCTAAGTGGCCTGCTCGAGAAACCGTCTCCGGGAAATCTCAAAGACTCATCAACGGCAGAAATCGCTGCTGCCGCTGGTGAACCAAGTGTTATATGGACGAGCAGCGCCCACGCAGATATCAACACAAGCGACAATGCACTCACGATCGTCCTTAGGAAAATGGAAGAAATGGAGAACGAGAATAAAGCGCTCCGTGATCAAATGAAGGAGCATCAGGAAAGGGTAGACAAAATACCTGGTGCCCCAAAGCTACTGCCAAAACGCGACGTAGGAAGGTTCGTCGAGCAACCGTATAGTGAGGAAGTTGCTCCTCACCCAATCCCTAAAACCTTCAAGATGCCCCCATACTTGAGAATATATGACGGGACCACGGATCCAGAAGATCATCTGATCCATTATGTAACCGCTATAAAAGGAAACGACTTATCAAAAGAACAGGTGTCGTCCGTGTTGCTGAAAAAGTTCGGAGAAACTTTGACAGGAGGAGCGCTAACATGGTACACACAACTACCGGCTAGATCGATATCGACGTTAGAAGAGATGGAGGATAAGTTCTCCACCGCTCATGCAGGAGCAAAGAAGGCTGAAGCGAGGGTCAACGATATCTTTGCGATCTGGCAAACGACGGGCGAAGGGCTCAGGGACTTCCTAGCCCGATTCAACAGGGTAAGAATGGGCTTGCAGAACGTATCAGAAGGAATAGCGGTTGCCGCTTTCCAAAACGGGTTGAACAGAGATGGGTCGAAAGCAACCAAGAAGCTACTCAGTCGACTCATGAAGTATCCCCCCACTACATGGGAGGAGATCCACAATGCCTACTGCGCAGAAGTAAGAGCACACGAAGATGACCTTAATGGTCCAACCCAACGACTGACATCAATGCAATCAGAAGTCAGGAGGGATCGACGCAATGACGGGCGACGGGAACCACTCCCACGGTTCAACAGAGAAAGGCATCAGCCCTATGTCAGAGCCCCTAATCCACCTCCTCCAAGACACCCAGACGCCTTGCAATGACATATCGCCCCGCTTCAGAATGAAAGAGGTATGCCTCCGTTATTATCCGCTCATAACTTTTGTGTCTCACCTTCAGAAAATAGTGTACGCAGTGGAGAAGCTGGGCACAAAGGTACAATGGCCGCAGAAAATAAAATCATATCCTAGCGCGATGAGATCAAACGTCCTATGCGAATTCCATCAGGAAAGGGTACACAAGACCGAAGATTGCATAGGTCTACGATGGGAAGTAGTCAGAATGCTAAACCAAGGATACCTGGAGGAGCTGCTCAGTGATAAAGGGAGAGCTAATTTCGCCAGGGGACGTGATCAATCCCAAGGACCACCAAAGCCACTGTCCCCAGCACGAACCATACAGATGATCGTCGGCGGCGGTGATGACTCGGCGATCAACCATGTAAAATTCACCACCACACACAAGTTGAAGCGCACGATCGCTCACGAACGGTATGATGCCTTCGAAGATAGTATCACCTTCGATAAGTCTGATGCCGACGGTTTGTCTTTCCCTCATTATGATGCTTTAGTTATAACTTTACGCATTGCTGATACTGATGTAAAAAGAATCATGGTAGACGACGGAAGCGGCGCGTGTATTATCCACCCGAGGGTTCTCATGCAAATGAGGCTCGAAGATAAGGTAATACCGCGTTGCATAACGCTAACCGGTTTTAACAATGCAGTAGAGCGTACCTCCGGAGAAATATCACTACCAGTCCTGGCGGGAGGAGTCACGCTGGAAACCACATTCCAAATCATGAACCAGGAAATGGCTTACAACGTCATCATAGGACGTCCACAGATATACGCCATGCGAGCCATCCCCTCGAGTCTCTATTAAGTAATCAAGTTTCCTAACCCATGGGGAATATTCAGTATCCGGGGTGAACCACGCACTGCCCAAGAATGTTACCGGATCGCCCAGAACTGCACCCATACCAAGCAACTGAAAAGAGCAAGTGCGGAGGCATAGCAATCAGCCATGTCGGGAACTAAAATCAACCTGACAACGGAGGGCATTAGGGACCCAGATGTCGTAGAAGCTTGCAAAGCGACAATCGGGGATCTCGACCCTGTCATGCTGGACAAGACCGACAGTTCGAAAAGCACCTACATCGGGCATAACCTCTCCGACCCAGGTAAGTACCATGAATTCTTAACTAACCATGCAGGTTTATTTGCCTTCTCTCATTCAGATATGCCGGGGATCCCAAACGACATCACCACCCACAAACTAAATGTCGACCCACTTTATCCGCCCATGCGGCAGATAAGGAGGAAATTCAAAGCTACAATCAACGAGGCAGTCAGCGAAGAAGTAGATAAACTACTAGCCGACGGTTCCATCAGAGAATCGAAATACCCCCAATGGGTCGCCAACGTGGTCATGGTTAAAAAGAAAAGCGGGAAATGACGAATGTGCGTAGACTTCACCGACCTGAACAAGGCATGCCCAAAGGACTCCTTCCCATTGCCCCACATCGATCAGCTGATAGATGCAACAGCCGGACACGAGCTGCTAAGCTTCTTGGACGCATACTCTGGCTACAACCAGATCCTGATGGCCGAAGAGGACCAAGAGAAGACAACTTTCATTACCCATCTAGGGATATACTGCTATAAGGTGATGCCCTTCGGGCTCAAAAACGCGGGTGCAACATACCAGAGGCTGGTCACCAAGATGTTCAAAGAACAGCTCGGTAAGACAATGGAGGTCTACATCGACGACATGTTAGTAAAGTCGGCAAAGAAGGAGGACCATATTGACCATTTAAAGCAAGCCTTCGAGATACTAAGACAGTACGGGATGAAGCTGAACCCGGAAAAATGTGCCTTCGGCGTGGCTTCGGGAAAATTCTTGGGTTTCCTCGTATCATAGCGAGGTATCGAAGTCAACCCGAACCAGATCAAGGCCATAGACATGATACCCGAGATTCTAAATAGCAAGAAGCGGGTGAAGAAACTAACATGGCGAATAGCCGCTTTATCCAGGTTCATCTCACGATCCTCAAACAGATGCCACAAATTCTTCAGTGTGCTGAAGAAAGATCGACGGCTGCAACGGAACGAGGAATGCATCGAAGCATTAAGGAAATTGAAGGTATATCTATCCTCGCCACCATTGCTCGTCAAAGCAGATCCAGGCGAGTGCTTACTCGTGTACCTGGCGTTGTCTGAAGTCGCTGTCATCGCCGTCTTAGTCCGCGAAAACAAAGGTACGCTATCCCCTATTTACTATATCAGCAAAACTCTAATAGATGCCGAAATGAGGTACTCGCACCTCGAAAAGCTGGCTTTGGCATTAGTTGTAGCTTCACGAAAGCTTAGACCTTATTTTCAATGCCATCCCATAAAAGTAATAACAACCTTCCCCCTAAGGGGCATCCTACATAAACCCGAACTCTCGGGTAGGCTCGCCAAATGGGCCATAGAGCTCAGCGAGCATGACATAACCTATCATCCAAGAACTGCCATCAAGTCACAGGTACTCGCCAACTTTGTCGCCGACTTCAGTATGGGGATATTGCCAGAGGTGGAACAAGAGGCCCTCCGCGCCTCTGCCCACACTGACCTCTGGACCTCTACACTGACGGCGCTGCGAATGCCTCGGGATCGGGACTGGGACTCGTCCTCGAAGTCCCCATGGGAGAAGTAATTCGCCAGTCCATACGATGCCCCGAGATGACTAACAACGAGGCCGAGTATGAGGCTGTGATTGCAGGCATGAAACTAGCTATCAAATACAGAGCCCGTCGGCTCATCCTCCATTGCGACTCTCAACTCGTAGTAAACCAAGTCGCTAGAACCTACCAAATCAAAGAGCAAAGGCTACAAAAATATCAGTCAGAAATCCATAAGCTGATGCCCGAGTTCGACGAATGTCGCTTCGAGCAAATTCCCAGGGGACAAAACATCGAAGCAGATAGCCTAGCCAAGCTGGCCGCAGCCACCAAAAATATCAACAAAGAAAATGTGGTCACTCTCCTCCATTCAGCCGTCGACCACATCGAGGTATTCTCTTTAAAATTGAATTGGGACTGGCGTAACCAGTTTGTATCCTACCTGCAGGACGGGACACTCCCACGCGACAAAAAGGCAGCCAAGAAACTCCGGATGCAAGCGGCCCGGTACAGCCTGATAAATCACGATCTCTACAAGAAAATGTTTGGTGGTCCCCTTGCTAAATGTCTCGGGCCACATCAGACGAGGCAAGTATTAGAAGAAGTGCATGAAGGCCATTGTGGCGCCCATACAGGGAACCGCACCCTTGTCCGGTGCCTTATCCGCACCGGCTACTACTGGCCCACCATGAAGAAAGAGGCAGCGTATTATGTCCGAAGATGTGAACAATGCCAAAAGTACGCCCCCATGATACACCAGGCAGGGGAACTCCTCCATTCGGTCACCTCGCCATGGCCATTCATAAAATGGGGGATGGACATAATCGGCCCCCTACCGGCAGGACGAGGAAAGGTATGCTTTCTGTTAGTTTTAACTGATTATTTTTCTAAATGGGTGGAAGCAGGTGCGTATGCACAGGTACGCGAGCAAGAGGTCATCGCCTTCATATGGAAAAATATCATATGCCGTTTCGGCATCGCCAAAGAAATCAGCTGCGACAATGGGCCCCAGTTCATCGGCAGGAAAATAACCGAATTCTTCGAGAAATGGCTCATCAAGCGGATACTCTCCACCCCATATCATCCCGCCGCTAACGGCCAAGCCGAGTCTTCCAACAAAACAATATTGAACATACTGAAAAAGAAGCTTGAAGAAGCCAAAGGGCTATGGCCCGAATTGCTACCCGAAGTATTATGGGCATACCGGACTACACCCAAGTCCAGCACGAGAGAAACGCCATACTCACTGGTCTACGAAACTGATGCCGTCATACCCGTCGAGATCGGAGAACCAAGCTTGAGATACTCCCATACTAGTGGAGCGGACAACGACGAAAGCAAGTTACAAGACCTAGAAGAAGCCGAAGAACGAAGAGACATGGCCCATATAAGAATGACGGCCCAAAAATAGCAGGTAGAAAGATATTACAACAGGAAAGCCAGGGTAAGACCGCTCAGAGTCGGCGATTACGTCCTCAAGGCAAAAACACTGGCATCAAAAGACCCGAATAAAGGAAAGTTAAGAACCAACTGGGACGGGCCATACAAAATCACAGCAGCGGCAAACAAAGGAGCGTTCCAGCTAGAGACGATGGAGGGAAAACCACTCCAAAACAATTGGAACATCGCCCATCTCAAACACTTCACTTCTGAAAGGCGTCTTCTAAGTCGCACTCTTTTCCCTGGCCCGATTTTGTCCCAATTGGGTTTTCTCGGGAAGGTTTTTAACGAGGCGACAAAGGGGACACCAGGTGGAATAAGAGCGCAAGTTCACCATATCGGCCAACCGACACGGTCCGCAGGCCAACATAGTGAAGGGACTATCATAGATTTCTCCATTACTCTCCATTGTATGAACAGAATTCTCTATTGTATGAGCGAAATTCTCCATTGTATGAACACGAATTCTCCATTATACAAACAAGATTCTCCATTGTATGAACAGAATTCTCCATTTAACTGAATGAAATCTTCATTACACAAACAGGAGTTAGTCGACATTCAACGATGGATACTACTTCGACGACAGTCAGAGTAACATCCTAATGGCTAAGGCCATCGATATCAGTTCGACCTCGTTCGAACCAAGACGGATACTACTTTGACGACAGTCGAAGTAACATCCTAATGGCTAAGGCCATCGATATCTACTTCGACGCCAGTCGAAGTAACATCCTAATGGCTAAGGCCATCGACATCAATTCGACCTTGTTCGAACCACGACAGATGCTACTTCGACGACAGTCGAAATAACATCCTAATGGCTAAAGCCATCAACACCGGGTCGACCCCATTCGAACAGCAACACGACCATTCGACGAACGACAAAAACAACCTCTACGGAGGCTAAACATTACGACAAACAGATAAAGCATCATAGGTAAAAGTTATATTACAACAAAAAATCATGTTTACATTCGCCCCCGTGGATGGGTTCCAATACACTATACAAGCCCAAAATTATACATAAGTTCATGACTGCCCATCACCCCCCGAGTGGTAAGCGTCATTATACCAGGGACCGAAGTCAAGGTGGTTAAATCTTCAGAAGCGAGCCCTTCCCCATCAGGAGAGTCGGGATCATAACCGCAAACTTCACGAGCGGCGGGAGCCTCGCCCTCTGCGCCTAGACTTCTTTCTCAAGCGCTCGGCCCGCAGCATGAAGCTCACTATACACATCGAGCTTGGCCTCCACAAAAATCCACATATCATGCGCACTACGACGCGCAATCTGATCAAGCGAAGGGCGAGAAATGGAAGGCCGGGAAAGCCTGTTGATCTCCGCCACCCTGGCATCGAGTTCAGCAGTCAGATCCGCCACCCTCCGTTGCAGATCGGCGTTCTCCGCTGCTACCCCACGGCTCAATTCAAGCTCATCATCCTTTGACCTGAGGAGCTCCTCCAACTCGCTGTTGCGGGCCACGACTTTCATCAGCTCGATATCCGCCTCCTCCAGCTCAGCTCCTCTGTGTTCCGACTAGGACTGCCCCCGATTGACTTTCGCCCGATGCTTAGAGCGGTACTTCCGATACTTTTTTAACATCTTCTTGAAGAGGGCAGTCCGTTTTTGCTCACGGCGTCCTCTCTCTACCTCCAAGACCAGGGTCTGTAAAAGAAGAGAAAAAGCAGAAGTAAATATGCCTCAAGCCAGTCTAACAATATACGGAAGGGAAAAAGGGAATAAAGAGTACCTGCAAAGCCATGCCTGACACCCTACGGGACAGCTCTGCGTCACCCACCGCACTGAGTGCCTTGCTCTCGAGGGCGGCACACAGCAGGGTAAGGGCCGAAGCAGCCTGCTCGCTGTTCGACAATAAATTATAAGTCGCCGCAATAGTAATATGACGGTCAGAGCCATCCGTCGTCATCTCCACGTGGGTAAGACCACCCACGAACTTGTCGACATCTCCCTGAGCAATGTCGGAGCCCAACTCTTCCGCTTCACCACCAGGCTCCTCGACATTGGCCGATGACCCTCCCTCGACGGAACGCGCGGATCTGACGCCTAGAATGACATCCCTATGTTGAGCCGACCTCCTGAAAGAATGGCGTCGGCCATGAACGAAAGTCTGGACGTCAGTCGAGGCACCCCACTCCCCCGGGCTTCAGTTGCCACCGCCTTGCCTTTCTCGAGCCTCCGCCGTTTTCTCTTTGGTGACTCCTCACCATCGGAGGGTTCATCCGCGGATTGAGAAGCCGGCGCCAATGGTGTCGATTCCCACATAACCATGGTCGTAGAGGTGGCCCCCCTAAAGGAGTTGGAGAAAGATCCCCTTAGACAGACTCGACCAATATATCTTGAGAGTTCGAAGCGACGTCGGTTCGTTTGGAAACATGGACTATCGCCTTCTTCCTAGAAGCGCCTCGACCTGTCGCCATAAAAAATAGGGGGGTGAGTAAGCGGAGTCGCAAAACTTTACACGACAAAAACTGGAAATCTACCTGAAGAGATTTTGGGGCCATAGCGCTGCATATAGACAGGCCGAGCGCGGGTCTCCTCTGCTGAGGTAACAAGCCGGCAACCCATCCCCTAAGGTTGGCAACGGGCCGGGGCGGATGAGCCATAGCTGCAATATAAAGGTTAGAATTGCGATGGTCAAAAACGATAAAGAATGTAACGGATTGCAACACTTACATTTTGAATTCCACCTCTCCGGGAATCCGACGGGGTTAGAGACCAAGTGCTCGGTCCTAACAAAAAAATATTTGCGCCAAAACCCACGACTCGCCCGGCCGTCGGTCTTGACTACTAACCCTCTCGTACCACGGCCCCATAGATGTACCATGGTCCCTCTCAAATAGCAGGCGCTGAATAGTTGCAGGAGGTGATGGACCGTGACTTCACACCCAGCCAACTCCGCATACTTAGTCAGTAGCCGAAGCACCTTCAGAATATACGGCGTAAGCTGAGCCGAGCAGACGTTGTAAAATTGGCAAAACTCCTCCGCCAAGGGAAAGAGGGGAAGGTTGTAACCAATCAAGAATGGATACTCGTAAAAAGCGCAATATCCTGGCCTGTGAACGTCCACGTGATCCCCCCCAGCCGGGATCATCTCTATGTGTGCGGATATACTGTACTTAACACGGAGGTCATCCAAGTGATTATGCAACAACTTGGAAGACTCCGGAACCAGAACGGGGGAATCCTTACTAAAGTCACTCCGGGATAGGGTGCGTTGTGGCAGCAGCGCTTCCACGGTGAGAGGACTCATATATTCTTCCTCCTCCGCCCCGCCACTAACGGAAGGCGGTGGCGCATTCAATGGGGCAGCCGCCGGGATCCTCTCATTACCATGGCGGGGTTTAGGCATGATCACGATGAAGAAAGAGTTACGCACAACACAAGGAAGGAAGGTTCTCGATCAGGAAAAACACACCGGGAAGAAGGAAATATGCACTGAAAGGATGGAATGTATTTGTAAAATGATCAAAAGTTTGGGTCAAGTTAAACCCCTACCCTATTTATAAAGATTGGAAAGGGCCAGAATTGAAGAGGCAGAATTTGAACCAGCGCGGGAAACCAAGCGTCGGAGCTGTTGATTTCCTACCTCGAGAATACGCATAATGATGACGCCTGCAGATGTTGACATCACAGGGGGGAAGGTGTCGCGTTTTGGCGATCTGACAGTCATGATGACTGCCCCCTATATGTCACATCACGGTCCATTGATAGGGCCAAACTCTCCCAAAATGAAGGTGTTGATTCCGCTCATCGAGGACGCATCTCGCTGCGACCCCGACGAGAGGAGGGACTAACTGTATGGGGTTGAATTTGACTGATCACGTCCCCAAGCAAGCACAACCAACCGTATATACACGAGTCCGGCTAAAGGGATGACTTGGGGACAATACGAAGGACGACCTCACAACCACGTTGGTCCTTCCATAGCATGTACTTTATCTTTATCTTTTTGGTGTTTAAAATAGAGCCCCTCCGCTATATAAGGGGGGGGTCTGAGTTGTGTAAATGGCACGGTTTGATTATAATTATACTCTCTCTATCTAACTGGCTCTCTCTTATCTCTCTAAGATCATTTCTCCATCTTTCTAATATCATCATATTTCCCTGCCCTCCC